AAAAATACTCGCTATCGCATGAAAAAAATAGAAAGAGAGAAATATTGATTTCTTGTCTCACTCGCACTCGAATACAGAACGCTCAACAATCGATGGCAAAAACAAATATACTCGCTATCGAATGAACGAATAGAAAGAGAGAAATATCCATTTCTTTTCTCACTCGCACTCGCATTACGACCGAGATACCCCAAGATAACGCACACTAGTCCGCTCGCGTGTAAAGACTAAAGAAGAGGCGAAGCTTGTCCCTCACTCTTACAATTACCTTTCACCTTTTTTTTCTGGCTTATTTTTGCAAATACGAAGATACACCTTAGAAAAATTTTTTATATATTTTCCTATTCTCTACAACTTTTGTTTGATCCTTTTTTTTCGATTAAATGCCTAAATTCTAAGATACAGCCATTTTTTCCCCTTTTTTATCCTTTTTCTCGGAAACCAACCATTCGATTGCAAAAAAAAATTAGCACCACTCGATTCAGCGTCGTCGAATTACCATTATATCAAATCGTGCTCTTTTAAATCGAAAAAGTTTTTATTTGCCTCTTATTGACTGGTCTATTGATTTAACCCGATCGTGAATCCTTTGACAAAATTTATTCTGTAAGCCCCAGGAATCAATATAAATTATTGACATTTAAAACTGACATTGCATTTTGTTTATGTCATGAGCACAAAAAGGAATCTGTAAGAAAAGAGAGCGTTCTGTTTTATTAATGTAGATAAACAATTACATAAAAATATAAAAAGGAGGCCAAATACAGTACTTCCAATACAAAACGTGCGGAAAGATGAAGTAGTACATTGGCCAATTTTTTTCGGACAGCAAAAGACGCTGCAAAAATCCCGGGTATAAAGGAATTCCAAAAATGAAATGTTTAAAATGCTACGTACATTTACGTTTAACGCTAGGTGTAAAATACTTCGTAAAGTTTCACGTTTAAATTTTTCTACGCAAAAGTGGAAAAATTATGGGCCGTTGTTACCTAAAAGTTACACAGTGAATTTATTATAATAAAGTTGTTTAAACCGGAACATTTTTTTTTCATTTGCATATATATGTTTATAATTGTTGATTTTCAGTTGCAATTATTGTTTTTAATTTATAACAAAAATTCGGCCCATAGAGGGATTACATACATAATTTTAATTCTCACATTACAATTAGGGGCATTCAATCATGTACAAAATTTAAATTCGAGTATTCAAATTATTGAAAATATTCTAAATTTACAGAAAACGTAACAGTCCTATGAATCACTGAGTTAAGCAGAGAGAGGGATATCTGTCTCACACACTTGTTGGAATTCGTTGTGCGTATGTTGGTATTAACGTAGAAATTTATATCGGTTTTCGAGTTTTCTTTCTGTATTGCACGATTGGACGTTTCGGAGAAGAAAATTCGTTTCAACGTTACATATCTCGGTTTGCAAAAGATTAGTGCTGTGTAAGTTTTGTATGCTGCTTCTACACACTTCGAACGTGTTTTTTTGAAGAATATATATCGAGGTAAGCTCAATTTCACATATTTTTTTTATATACAATTATAATAGTAGTCGAAAGAACTCGGAAATATTAGGCTCACTTAGAATTTCTATACATTTTCGGTTGTAAGAAATGAATTTTTCATTACAAAGTTTGCGCTAAGTTGAACGTTCTATGAGCCATGTTTTTTGATTTTTATTTTAGGAACATGGACACATGAGTTTGTGAGAAAATTGCATTTCTTTAACCCTTATGTAATACCCAATTTTACCGACGCTGTTTAGCACCATTTACTGTAATCTTCAAATTTTTAATATCTCAGTAAAAGAAAAAGTGATTTTAAAAAATTTTTTTTTTAATTATACATTTCTATTGAATATTTAAGTAAGTTTAAGAAGTAATTGACATTATGACTATATACCACGCACTCCGATACTTGAACAAAGTGTTCAGTATTAAATACGTTTTTCATATGAAAATCTTCTCTTTTCTTTTAATAGGCATACGTCATGCATGCATTTTCTTTTTCTATTCTTTACATCACACAGTCCTAATTCTCTAGAACTCACATAGACTCTACTTATCTTTAGTCCACTCAAATAAAGGAAAACTGGGAAAATTTGGTAAACTTGGGAAAACTTGCTATAATGGTAATTCGACGACGCTGAATCGAATGGTGCTAATTTTTTTGCAATCAGATCCCGAGGTATTGAGAAAAAGGGTAAAAAAGAAAAAAAAGCCATATCTTAGAAT